TCCATGTATAACATGTGTTATTAGTATTATTATATTTTTACCCAATAAAATAAATCTTTTAGCAATGATCAAAAATCTAATCAAAGCTAACAAAACAATTTATAATATTACAATGCAAAACATTTAAGAGTAATACACAAATAAAAAGAAAAAATACTATAGAGCCGACAAAAAAGGAATCAAAAAGTATGTGGATGGATAGACCATAAAGTGATTGTATTTTATTGCACAAAATACATGACCAGCTGTAACGCAAGCCATTTACAACATTACAAAGCAAACACTTAGACGAGATACACACACACAAAGAGAGACGAAACCATATCGTTATGGAATAAGTAATTTATTACCACGTTAAACATTTGCTGCCGCGTCGTCCACCAGCTTGTCTGTTTCTCCGACGATAAATTCGTTAGGATACGATACACACCAACTCCACGACGCCGACAAACACTTCTCTGCCAGATTAAAGTTTTATTTGCTACGACAACACGACAATAAGCTACTCGGGGGAGTATCTTTGCCGATATTAGGCCATTAAATTTGAGTTTACCCTTTGTCGTTGAAGATAAGCAGTGATATTTTGAATGTTATCTTAGAAAATATTTGAATTTATAATTAAAATCATAATTGTAATAAAGCTTTGATGTTCTGCTTTAAGATAAAGTTTTATTTTTAGGTATTATCTACCAAAAATATCTGTCCTCTCTAATTGGAAAACATTAAATATTTTTTTTATTCTTCCTCACAAATCAAAAACTGTATATCGTAAAAATAATTATTATTAATAAATATGTTTAAGCTTATGCCAATGAAGCCCTTTCATACGATACCCCACATAACATGGTTAATTCAATTCATAATTTGGACCTGCCGTTCCTTTCATAAATACCCTGTTTTTTTGTGATTTAATTAAAAAATATATGTAAATAATACAAATTAGTACAACTAAAAAAATCTACAAAAAGATTTGGTCACCCGTACAATTATGACCGCGCTTAACCTCGAAGAAGAAGAAGAAGACTATTCCGTCAAAAACATAGAATGTAAAAAAATGCAACACAATTCTTCCACTATAAAAAGTTGTTAGATCTCTTGTAAAAGCAAGTCAGTTTATTTTATTTAGTTTCTCTTTAGGCACCTATTCAACAATTTTATTACAAATTGTTAGTATCAATATTAATCATCTTTATTTCTGTAATAATTATAATAACTTGGCAAACGCACGATATGCTATTCTATGTATACTAATTTTTAATGGCACTGTTTTGATTTACTTAGTAATAAAAATAGTGGATTATTCTTTTATAATTTTGGTGCTGTGGAATTGCCTAATTTGCTGGTTAAGAAAGCGCTGGTGAATAAGCGCCTATTACCAGCGCCGAAAATTAGCGTCTACAAGTCGTCTCCATAGTACACAATAAACGTAAAAAGTAAGCGCCAATAATTAAATGCGCTTTTAAACATACCCGCATACAGAAAAAAAAAACTTGTCGGCGCTTGTTGCTAGCGTAAATTAGTTACCACTTCTTTACCTCTTTCACCACCTATTTCACGTTTCATTATCATACTAGGAATTCTTGCTTCAGCCATTCTTTCAATGTGTCCCAGCCATCTCAATCTTTGTATTCCTGCTACTGGCGTTATACTCGGTGCCCGATATAGTTGCTTTAATTCTTCATTTGTTTTTCTGGTCCCAAATCTTCTTTCCTCCAAAAATCTTCCTCAGTATTTTTCTTTTCCAAATCTCTAGCGTCGAACTTTCTGTTGCAATGAACTTCCACGTTTCATATGCATACAGCACTATTGGTGGTATCATTGTTTGGTACATTCTGATTTTTAAACTCCTAGAGATATTCTTATTCGTAATAAAAGAATCTTAATAATTTTCTGTAGTGCGCTAACACATCTATTTCCTGCCATTATTCTTGCCATAACTTCTTATATATATATATATATATATATATATATATATATATATATATATATATATATATATATATATATATATATATATATATATATAAAATTATATAAGAGTTTCTTGCCTTGAACTGCTAATATAGAAATTAATTCCACGCTGTGTTCGTCATAATGTGGATCAACCTGCTCTCACTACCGGTTTCGGGGCCCTACCCCATCATCAGGTGAGCTTGGGTATTTCCACAGAACGACGAGCACAGCGCAGAGTATATACATACGACTTGTCGTAAAGTAGCGGTAAGATATTAAGTCCCCCATCGCGGGATATTTTCCATTATATATATATATATATATATATATATATATATATATATATATATATATATATATATATATATATATATATATATATATAGAGTCTACTTCCTCAAACTTGAATCGTTTCCCTCTGTCTGAATCTATTTGTACACCTTTCTTAATCTATTTGACATCTTCCCTTCTCAAAATTCATATCTGACTACTCGACTCCATAAATTTCGTTTTCTTCTCATTAAACACTAAGCCTACTTTTTGTGCTTGATCTTCTAGTCTTTTGGTCACCGATATCAGCTCTTTCCAATCTCTTGCTGAGATAACTAAATCATCTGCAAAGGCTAAGCATTGGTGTCTTTTTTTATACAGAAGGCTACATCCCTGTTGATTCCCGCATCTTTTATAACCTTTTCTATTACTACACTAAACAGTACTGGAGATAGTGAACCCCCCCCATCTTAATCCGTCTCTGATTATAAATTTTTCCGTTGTTTTCTTGTTTACTTTGAGTTCATTGACTGTCTCTTAGAGTGTCAATTTTATCATCAATTTCTTGCTAAAAATAATTATAAAAAAAGAAAATTCTAAATACGTTCTCGAAATCGAAACTTCCTTTTTTATCTCTGCCACGCAATAAATTCTTAATTTTATATCACCTGGCTTAGAATTTCCCACGGACCGTGCGAAAAACGATCCTTTCCTTTTCTGGAAATCCTGGAAAAGCCGAAAATGCATTGATTAAGCCTCAGGGAGCCCCTGACGAATCGACTAAGGCCTGCCGAGGCGTGATAAGGCCACTTGCCTCCCTTTCTGCATCCACCTTCGCGCCTTGATATCTTCCTTTTCTTTCTCACACCCCACACAGCTTTATTTTAATTTATTTTACGATAATTTTCTACGTAATGCTTGGGGAGGATGAAAAGCGCCACTTTTGATTATTTAGTGGATATGAGACCAAGTAGATGTGTAATAAAGAAATAATTCCGATTATAGCGGATTCCTTGGATTTATATCTTTAAAAACATAATAAAACACTTAATTAATTTATTATACGACTAAATACTACAATATTTTACTTAAATATAATAGACAGACGAATTACTGTCAATTTTTTACACTTCACCATTTATCTCTTTAAAAAGTAAAGACAGTAAAAAGTTTCCTCCTAAATCGCTGGTTATATACCCACAGAAAATGATTCTGGCTTGATGTGACATGTCTTCTATATGCGGGGTTCTATAGAAGTGGACTGACTAAGCCTTGCAATGTAATTGACCTCAAATCCAAGGGACCTTACAGAAAGAGGGATATATCTACTATTGACGGAAAGCATGGAGAGCTAAACCCCAACCTTGGAATACTAGGGTGTCCGTTATTTACAAAGAATAATTATAAATAATATAGTAAATATGAAATAAAAAATATAAATAATAAAGATAAAGAGAATAGAAAATATAAATAAGAAATAAAGGTTATAGTAAAATATAAACTAAAATATTAAGTAAATCTAAACAGTGCACTTAAGAACAAAGTTTTTTAATTCGTAGAATATCATATCGTGTAATTGTTTGCTTTCGTGACATTTGATAAAAAGTTTCTGATTAAATTTTGAGAACCACTGGATTTTTACTGTGTTTTTGTTCCTCTAAAATTTTGTTCCACTACCTGTACTTGCCATATTATCGCATATGTTTTTAAGTGAAAATTAAAAAAAAAATCAAAAAAATCTTTTGAAAAATTAAAAGTTTTCTATTTTTTTGCGAATAGCCGTGTTTCTCTGATCGAAATATACCACCCCTAAAAATGCGTGCATGAAAGACTTAACTTGTATACCTTTGTATTTCTCTAAGGTAAAATTTATAGCCAACTTTTCTATAGAAATGTATTTGAATCACCTTGTGTCTATCCTTCTGGACTGCTATTCCATCACAATTTTGTATATTGCAAATTAGAAGTAAAGGATCGTTATTATTACATACATACATACTGCCATTACTCAGTCATGAATATTTGACACGCATCAGAAAATGATTATGCAAGGCGTTTTTTATGAGCTTTTCTGTAATTGAAAAGCCCCAATAATATGATGTTATCTCTCTTCCACACCCCGGACATTCAAAAATCTCATTGTTTTGTTGCCTCTTTACTTTTTGGTGGTCTAATGCCTACGCCATGAATTATCCTGTGTGTTGCGGGTTGACCCTTCCAAAAAAAGGTGTAATACTCCTCAGTGAGACTACCTCATCTGCAAAGCGAGTTTCGATAAGAGCGGCTACATCTATATTTAGCCGGTTTAGTTCTTGTGAGACCAGTGCTGTTCTTCTCTCTGGTCGATTTGAAGGTGTCTTGTCCAGTAGAGTGTGGACGTTCCACGCCGCAAACGTGAAACATGAACGATTTTTTTTTCTCTCATGATACAAAAATCCGGACGATGGTTTTGTCCCACTCGAATGTTCCATCTTTGATGTGTGTTAGCTGCCTGGAAAGGTTTAACTGTGACGGTTACGCTGCCGGACAGTTTTAGCTGCAACTGTAGCACTGGATGGTCATGGCACAGTGAGGATAAGGAGTGAAGCGATAGTTCCCTTGTGCTACATTCTCGGCCGACTAGGAGTAGTTTACTCCTCTTCTCCACAAAGATGGTAGGACTGAGGGTTGTATAAGGTTATACCGCCTATACTCATTTTTTTTCGGCAGGTTTCTACTTTGAACCGTGTGTTGCAACTACCATCGGCGTGTGATTGCAGGATGGTAGCCCGTTTCTACTACTCTAAGAAAGACCTGACGATGTTGGTTGCGTCAAGTATTACCGACTTTTGCATTTTACGGTAAGTCTTGTATTGAATTCCAATATCTTCCAGAGAATTTTTCAAATTTATTGGTATCAGTCCCATTGATGTCAGGATGATCGGAACAATTTTGACCTCGTTGAGCCGCCACATATCTTTAATTTCGCGTTTTAATTCGGTGTATTTCTCAACCTTTTCTCTATGCTTTCTATCCATATTGTGATTGTTCGGTATGGAAATATCGATGAGGAATGCATTATTATGTTGTTTGTCAATTACTGTTATGTCGGGTTTGTTATGGGGTATCGTCTTGTCAGCTATAATTCCTTTATTCCAGTATACCCTGGCCCTTGTATTCTCCACTACCGGCGCTGGCTTATATTGGTAATATCTTGTGCTTGTTTCAACTTCAAAAGAATAGTTTTTTAGTAGTTCTAAATAGACTATCGTGGCTACTCTGTCATGTCTTTCCACATATTTTGTTCCCGCCAGTAGCTGACACCCTGAGAGAATATGTTCAATTGTCTCCGACTCTATTTTGCATTTCCGCCACGAAACTGAGGTTATATTCTCTTCCATAATAAACTTCCTATAGCTCAGTGTAGCGGTAACCTGGTCTTGGATGCTAATCATGAAGCCCTCCGTTTCTGGAAACAAGTACCCATCGACGAGCCATTGAACAGATGCTTGTTTGTCGACCGTTTCTCGCTGCAGCTCGTTGTAAAAACGTCCATGCAAAGCTTTCGAGCCCCACTCTCTAAGTGACTGCTCTCTGTTTTTTACAGACAGGTGGCCATGGTTATCAGCGTTCAGGTTAAGTGTAGTGAGGTTGTTGTCCACTTTACCACAGCTCTATGGATGTCATTGTTTGTGCTCCTAAAATATTTCCTGAGATGGCCTATCTGTTGTTGCAAGAAGCAACCACATCGATGATTCCGCGACCTCCATCTTTTCGAGGCAAGTTTATCCTTTCCACTGCTGATCCTGGATGGTGTTTTCTAAATTTTGATAATTTCGTTCTTACCAACCTGTTGATCCGTTCCAGGTCAGTCTGTGTCCATTTTACAACACCAAATGAATACTGCAAAATTGGGATGGCATAGCTATTAATTGCTTTGGTCAGGTTTTTGAATTAAGCTTGCTTTTTAATAGCTTTTTAGTCGTGTCTTGAATTGACCAGTAAGTATTTCCTTAATATTGCTATGTTCAATCTTGTTTGTCTGCAGAACTCCAAGGTATTTGTATGGATCACGGGATATCGATGCTACTTTTGTGTTTGGGTTCAATTGAAGTTCAGGTCCCTCAATCAGTTTTCGTCTCTCAACGGTTACTTTTTGGCACTTTTTGACACCGAAGTCCATGGCAATATCAGTGTCATGATGATGACAGATGGCAGCGTCTAGTTGCTTTTGGTTTGCCGCGTAGATTTTTAAGTCATCCATAAAGAGCAAATGGCTGATAACTTCTGAATTTTTTCCAAATTTTAAGGTAAAACCGAACCCTGTCTCTTTAAGTGTTTCGGATATTGGGTTCAGAGCAAGGCAAAACCATAATGCAGACAAGGAGTCCCCCTGGAAGATTCCTCTCTGCAATCTTATAATTCCAGATTCTATATTTGACTCTTGATGTTTGATACTTAGTGAAGTATTCCATTTGGCCATAGTATGCTGTAGGAAATTTATGATGGTTTTATCGATACTGTAAATCTCCAGCACTTTTAAAAGCCAGCTGTGAGGTATTGAATCGAAGGCCTTCTGGTAATCTACGTATGCCATGCATACATTTCTTTGGCTTTGGCGTGCTTGCTCGAGAATTACAGCATCTATAGTGATCTGTTCTTTACAGACAAGAGCTCTTCTTTTACATCCATCATTATGTTTTCTTGTTCCAGGTACGTATCAATTTTGTCCCGAATTACAGCAGAAAGAATTTTATACAATGTAGGTAGACAGGTGATCGGTCTGTATTGCGACGGGTCTTTGGTATTCTCGGATTTCGGGAGAAGGTAGGTAACTCCACTTGTGAGGAAACTTGGAAGTTCCTCTGGTTTTTGTAGGACTCTGTTAAATTGTGATGCCAAACATGCGTGTGAACAGGTAAGTCTTTTGAACCAAAGGTCTGGATCCCGTCTTTTCCTGGGGCTTTCGAGTTTGCTAGTTTTGATATTACTTTTCTGACATCATCGGTTGTTACTGTTACTGGGTTCATTAGGTTTCCACGTAATTTCTGTTCTTGTACGCATATCCATGGAGCGTTTTCGCGGTGGTTAATATTGTTTGACCAGATGTCTTTCCAAAATTTTGTCACATCCGCCAGTTCTGGTGACTCACCCACATCTTCTCTGCTCTCCAATGACCTGTAGAAATACCTCGCATTTTTTACAAACTGGTTGTTTTGCACCTTTCTCTGATAGCTTTCTTGGAATCGGCGAAGACTTTTCGAGAAAGCTGCAAGTTTTTGCTTTAATGTATCCAAGTAGTCTATTATGATAGCTCGAGTTTCTTGCTTGGGATTGCCGTTTAACTGTTTGGTAAGTTCGGATTTAATCCCTCTACGCGCTGATCATCATGACGGTTCCGAATGAGAGAACCAGCGTTCAATTCTCTCCCGCCCCGGGTTACATGTCTTGCGTCGAAAGCAGCAGTAGTAAAATCACGATACGTCGGAGTGCTAATCCTCGGTACCGGTATGGTTTCTTCCTCTCGTGTTGGCCCAGTCATTGTCTCTCCGCCACCAGGGTTGGGTACCTGATCTTGGATAAAACGCAGTCTGGTTTCCGGGATCAACCGAGCCATAAGGCAGGAGGTACGAGTAGGAATTGAGTAGGAGAGGCTATTTGAGCCGCTTCACTACCCCCTTTAGACCACCTAATTATTATTACAAGGATATTTTTAAAATGTGTACTTCTACTAGGTCATATTTTACATTAAAGAAGAGATTGAAAATACCAAATAACAATCCTGATATAGAGCTCTTTCTTAACGATGTGTCACTCTGTATGTGCTTAGTTAAAAGTAGGGAGATATAGTAGAGAATAATAATGAACTTTCTAAAACTATGGCACTATCAAATATATAGGTATACTAAAATTATTTCCAATTTGATTTATTTTCACAAAAGATGCAATAAGTAAAAATGAAATATAGGTATGTCTTTTTACCTTCAGTTCGAAACTTTGCAGATTAATTTCTTTAAATTCCGTAACCTTTGCTAAGTTTGAAAACTAACGGAGAAATGTTGACTAAAAGTTTGATATAAAATTAGATCTACGAACTTTCTTGCTATTTTTGAATTTCCGTAAACTACACAGGCCTGGAATGAGTGGGATAACTTTATTATTTTTGTAAAAGTTATCCCCAGTTCGTGTATTGCAACATAGCATGCATGTAAAATGTTTATTTTTGATAGTAGGTATAATGTTTAATCGAAGAAATTTGAAGAACACGGTGTGCAAAAAAGAAGTTTGTTTGGGACAAGTTGAGGTGCTGAAAAAAAGCTTTGTTAAGTTTATAACATACAAACACTAACACATTCAGAGAAACTTTATAGAGTCTTTAAACAGGGATACTCTATTCTAAATAATAAATCATTATATTAGGGTGTGAATAATAAATCATTATATTAGTAAATCATTATATTAGGGTTTTTCTTCTTGTAAGTCATTGCATCAAAAAAAAATTGAACAAAGATTAACAAAATAACAAGTAAAGATTGACAAAAGCATGTAAAACAATTAAATAAAAAAATCAAGATAATTATAAATGGTTTTGTTTCCAAATTATGTTTGTTAGTTTGCCTTATCAATGAAGCAGAACACATTAACGAACAAACAATTTTATTAATACTGACTTAACAATAACAATAACTAGCTATAAAATTAAAAACAGTTATAGATTAGTTAGTTAGTTGTTTTTACATGCTTTTGTCGATCTTGAAAGAAATTGAGAAGAATGCACATGTGTGATACATTTTTGAATTCGGAGAAAATGGGACTACCTAATGCGCTACTAATATACAGAGTGTTCCATTTAAAAAGTTTTTTTTAGTTTTAAAAATCTGACATGTGACACCTACTGTCATTTGTACTCGCAAAAACTTGGCTGAAACTGCTACAACGTGTTTTTTAAATGACTGCTTTAACCCAACAAACAAAAAAGTTATAAGCTTTTAAAAGTGGGTCAAACTAAAATGATAACCCTGTACATACACCATCAGCCGAACAAAAAGTAGCCATAGCCTTTATACACAGACGTGCTGCCCGACAAGACTTGCCAAAGCAAGAGAAACAATATACAGGGTGGTCCGAACTGTATTCCGGAAACTTCTGCAGATAAAAATAAGTAAAAAAGTTCGTATAAATGTATGTCATAACATGCTTAGTTTCAGAGATACAGGGTGTAGAAGTTTCATTTTTATTTCGATATTTTCTAAATAATTTCTGAAGTAACGTCAATATTTGGATGAAAATTGGTGTCTGGGAGTTTTTTGACATGAGAAATTTGATTTTGATATCAATATGACTCCTACTAGTAGAGCGCGCCACCTACATATGTTTTAACTGTTTTGAAGCGTAATAACTTTTTGTCCGTACCTGTATAAAACTACCCAGCGAAAAAAATATACATCTCTGTGATTTTTTACGTAAAAAATATCTCTTTGTAAAAATCGCTACGAGCAACCGTTCTTAAGATATTTAGAATGGAAATAGTCAATACATTTCATTATTGACGAAAAATAAACACGTTGAGTAGATAGTTATTTCACTGAAATAATAAATTTGGAAAATTTTTATTTTTTTAAATTAATCATAAATTTTTCTGCAAAAAATGATGATAAAACAGTTTCTGTTGAACTTTTGACACAAAGACATTTGAAATTGATTTCAGTCTAATAACTATTTAGTCAACATGTTTAATTTATGTCAATGATGACAGGTATTGATTATTTCGATTCCAAATATCTCAAAAACCATTACTCGTAGCGATTTTTACTAAGAGACCTTTTTCACGTAAAAAACGTCGCAAATATTTATTTTTTTACACAGTAGTTTTATACAGGTACGGACAAAAAGTTATTACGCTTCAAAACAGTTAAAACACATGTAGGTGGCGCCCTCTACCAATAGGAGTCATATTAACATCAAAATCAAATTTGTCGTGTCAAAAGACTCCGAGACACCAATTTTCACCCAAATATTGACGTTACTTCAGAAAATATTTTTGGAAAAAATCGAAATAAAAATAATAAAATAATAAGAGATAAAACTTCTACACCCTGTATCTCCGAAACTAAGCATTTTAGAACATGCATTAATACGAACTTTTTTACTTATTTTTATCTGCAGAATATGCTGCCGAAGTTTTCGGAATACAGTTCGGACCACCCTGTATAAAACAACCCCAGAGTTCCCAACTGACAAAGGAGTACGACAGGGAGACGCGATATCTCCAAAGCTGTTTAGAGCAACATTAGAAGAAATCTTCCGTCAACTGGACTGGACTAACAAAGGATTAAAAATATATAGAGAATATCTTAACCATCTCTGATTCGCTGATGTAGCGAGGCTCTGAATCGCAAGCGCACATTTTACTTTGGAAAACAAAGCTAGAAGAAGAGGAACTATGCTCCCATGCTCAAGGACCCTTTTTTCAGATTTGAGAGGTGCAGGGAAACCTGCAACAGGTACTCGCCTGGGAAAACCTACTATGTGCCAGACGAGTTATGTGGTATTTTTTTACCTCGCTAAAACACCTACACTAACCTACACCTCTGTCCTGCCTCCAGGAATGTTCTTTCCCCGGCGACACTTTTTGTAAATACTACTTCGCCGGGGCATTCTTATTCGATGTTACTGCTGTCTATTCTTCGTATGCAGTCCACTATAGACGTATGCAGTCCACTATAGCACCTTCAGCATGCAGTCCACTATATTTTCTGGGCTGATGGACAAGCCGAGATTTCTCTCCTTTTTTTCCGTCCTTGTCCCCTCGTATAGAGGCCATCGGAAGAACACGTGCTCCGCATCTTCGGTCATCACGCGGCAATGGTGACAATTCGGGGACTCCTCTTGAATCTGTGCAAGTATGCTCGAAAGCATCTATGCCCAGTCAAGAGTTGGGTGATGTAGAATCCAACCTCCCCGTGCACAGGGGTTTGTGATTTGGTGACATCCGGGATTAGTCGATGTGACCACCGACCTTTCGTCGAGCCGGGCCATCTCACTTGTCAGAGACTAAGACTTTCAGTCCTCTCTTCTTCACAGAAAGGATCTGAGATTCTATAAAGGTGAGGTACAATGATAGGAGAATGGCTACAGACATAGAAAGGGGACAAAGACAAAAGGGGCGTTACAGGTTGCAATGTCGCCGGCAGCGGACGGCCTCTTGTTATTGAAAAAAAAAGAACAATCTTCGGATTTTCAAGGAGTTTTTAACAGGTCACTACCTCCTCCTCATTGAACACCTCAATAGATTGAACCTAATTAAAAACGACAAATGCAGATATTGTGGGGAAAATTGGGAAATACCAGACAATCTCTAACTGCACCGAGACGACAATCAATCGTTCATAAACTTTGGTATGACTGATATCCGAGATGAAGAACTCACCTCTGTAAAACCATCTGACATACTGGCTTTTGCCAAAGCCCTGAGACTGTATGATAAATTACAATGTGAGTGATGAGATACAATAGATCTATAAGGTTGCTCTGTTTAACTTCCTTCTTACTATTAGTTAAAATCTAGGTTAATCTTATACGTCTTTATATCAAAGGAAATGCTTGTGATATAAAAATCCATACAAATATAGTTGTGATTTTTTAGGTGCATTTTTCCGAAACAAGACAAGAGTGTTTCTTCAATAATCTCTAATTGTATAGAAAAGAAATAAAAAAAATGTCTTCATGAAAAGAAATAAAAATAATTCATTCATGAAGCATTTATCAAAATCCAACATTTTGAATTTACATTCATTTGAATGTCAAAATCGATATCTGCAATTATAAACACACAAATACACACACACACACACACCTTTTCATCTACCCTAGCTCCTAACAGACGTATAAATCAATCTAAAACAATAACACCGCGAAAATAAACAGGTAAAACAACCGAAGACAGTACGCCAAATAACAATTATAGATAAGAGCGTCGGAATAATGTATTCATTACATAGTTTACATGCGACAACAATGGAAATAATTGCCGGTTGTACGTCGTCCCGACTCTAACAGACGATAACACGTTTGATTTACTAACTAACTTTGTTGTTTTATTCATAAAGTCGAGCTAATAACCCTCGTGTGTGTGTATATACGTGTGTGTGCGAGATCAGAGATAGTGTTTGGTCGAC